TTTGTAAATGATTATACATTTATTCTTTTTAACAGACAGAGGGTGCATATGTGTCCCAACTTCAATTCAGGTCATGCTGTGTTTGTATCTGTATGATTTTGTATCACACTAAGCAAATCATATTCAGGGATGTCATTCACACACAATGCTAAGCTGTGTTGCCTTGGAAGGAAATGCCTCTGCATTCGACAGGGTTTGTTCCCAGGTGACGTTCAAAGGACTGCAACTTGTGCTATGTTAATAGAGCTGAATAATAGACATGCCTTTGCTACTCTGAAACAAAATCTACAAATGTTTAACCCATCCAGAGACCCAGTCAAAGGCTGGTACCCTGTGATGATGTACAGTTGACTACAACTACGTTAAAAAAGACCTGATGAGTAACCTAGATGGAAATCACTAGCAGCACCATGGAGGAGCAGAGGATGAGTAATAAATACAGTGTTTGGGAAAGGAGAAGCATTTAGCACGACTGGGCTTTCAGAATTAAATCAACAGAAAACATACAGCATTCTCGTCACTGAATTACGTTGTGGTATAGCTTCAGGAACCCCAATTTTTTAATTCCATCCCTCTTTTTCCTTTCATATATGTTATGTGGCTGACTAAGGATGTAAAGAAGAATACATTACTTAGTAAAAATGATCAAGGACATAAATCAATTACTAGCTACTGAATAAGTTCACTCGGCCCACAAGTCCATGCACAGCACATTCGAGACAATGAGACTGTGCATCACTACCTGGTACAGTGAAGATTTAGAAATAGGTGTAATAAGATTTATTATTAGGGAAGGAGTACGATCATAAGAGGTGAATCCAGCTGAGATTCATTACAATTAGAGGAAGTCCAACTCTCTGGAGTAGAGTTTCTCATGTTTTTGAACTTCTGGACCTCTACGAACTAATCTTTCGAATCAATATCTCAGCATCAGCCTGCTCTGCGGTCAGTGAGTGCACAGAAATTTTGAACACAGCTGCACAACTGCTGTGCGCATAACAATCTGTAAACCAGAACAATCATCCAACATTGCAATAAGAAGAGAACTTGCACAGGCTGCTCCTGGGTACCTTCCCTCACCTGCTGGCAACAGGAAAGTGTAGGAAGGGAGCAGTTGTGACTAAAAGGTGCTTGCACGTCTGTGCTTTTCATAACTGCATAGTAGTTTCGCTATGCTGCTGCCTGCGGGAAACTTTCTCAGGCATTGCCTGTTACCTGGAACTTGGTGCTCCCTGCTCCACCGTGCTAAGCATTGTTGTAACAGAACAAAACCCACATGGGGAATACCCAGGAAAAGGGCATGGAATTGCAAAGTACAAAATGACCTTTAAAAACTGCTAATTAATTGCTCCCTTTCATAATTGAAGGATGCCGATTTCAGTGGGATATATTTCCCAGCAAGTATACATAGGACAGATGTAATGATGACTGTTCAGAGCGGTATTTCCTACTCCATGTTTGCATACACATACACATTCAAGACAGAGTACATGCAGTTAGTACACTTGTGCCAGTTCTACCAGTTGTAATATCTACAATACATACACCATACATACATCTTGAGTATACTAAAATATTTATCTTCCCCTTAATGTACATTCGGCAACTGAACAGTACATACGAGTACGACACTCAAGTTTAAACCTTCCCTCAGACTTCACTGAAATCATGTTGCAACTAACAGAAGCTTGTGTACCCAAAGATTTTGGTTGAAATCTGTTATGGCCCAATGTACTTATATAGGTTATGGTTTAGCTAAAAGCATACATATTTATGTCCGGTTGATTTTAATAGAAGATTTAAGAGGGGAACTTAGAAGTTCTAGCTTTAGCTGGATTGCATTTGATATTTCACACACAAGTAGAGGCAACATGTGTGTGTGTGTAATAACTAGTAAACCTTGATCTGCTATTATTTTAATATTTACTTGGGGAGTCTGTCTACATCTATAAAGAACAAGCACTTTGTAAATTTCAGTTATACCATGCCCACATGGAATAATAAAAATGCAATGTAATTGCATTCATACACAGATTTCCATCTCCAGCTATGTGGAGGGTTTTAAAAAATATTATTTATAGTCTGTAAACAGGATTTCCAGTTTTCTCTAAGTAACTTCATCTGTTTCAAAGGTGAAAACAGCTCTTCTATTTGTACTGTTTCATTATTATTTAGAAAGGAATCCTCTGAAGGCCTGATTGCATAGAAAATTCAAAATATAACAAATCTCTTCAAATGCAAATATATATATATATTAAAATAAATATTACTATGGTTCATATTTCAGAAAAATATAAAGATAATTTCATTTCTTATGGCCTCATGTTTAAATTGGTTCTCTAAGGAAACAGCAGTTCTTTAACAATGTAACTCTGATTTGCTTTTATTGACAAGTTAATTTGTTGTGTATCTGTTCATACAAAGGGCATTGCTAAGATGCTCCGAACAATCTACAGTAAATCGCTGCTCAACTTTTTAATGCTAAGTAAGCATGCTTTGTGTCTGTGGGCTGACTTTAAAAAACTGAAAACTTTATTTGAGAAAGAAAATAAAATTGCTTTTATCTGATTAGATCTTGTTGCTTGTTGTATCTAAGGGGGATACTGAATATCAATCAGATATGTTACCATTAAACAGGTTTCATTATAACTATTGTGGGTTGGGATAGAAGATAACTGCTAAAACTGAGAACATTGCTAATACTAATCATAACTTTTTTTTTAAAAATGTAATGTATACAAAAGCTTTAAATTACAAGCAACTCAAAGAGGTTGTTTCATATTTACAATGGTTGCTTCAGATGCAGAATCATTTTTATTGCAGATGTTTGTAGTCTGCAGGAAATCAAATAAATAGGGCTTCACATTACAGAGTTTTCAATTTTTTAAATACAACAGTGATACTTCCTTTGGATATTCTTTATGTTTTGAATGTCAAGGAGATTGTAGACCACGAAGTTTACAATTACAAGATTCTTTGTGGCACTGCTGTTTATTTATATATTTTTTTAATTTTTAACTAAAAGGATGTACTACACACACTGTAAAATAACTGCTAACTGCCATCCAATATGAGTTTGAGAAAATAATGTATAAAAGCAAGAAGCACAAAGGAGACCTGAGGTCAGTATGACAAAGACAGATCTTTGCAGTGTGTGTGTGTGTCGGGGGGTGGGGGGAGACAGTGAATGCTATAACTTGTACAAATGCATAACCCATATGATTTCGAGCTATTTCAGTTCCTCTGATATGGAAACAAAACACAACTCAGATCCCACTATAGCACTTTGATAGAGTTGTAGATCAGATTCTGAAAAGTCTTCTTAAGATCACTCCTTCCGTGTTTGCTGGTGCCGCTGCAACGACACATTATCCTAAACTTTTTTTTAAGTGTGCTTAACGTGGCGTCTTATTTGAAGGAAACTAAGCTGATCAGCAGCAGTTGCTGGTGCGCAGAGATCAACAGGAAGCATCTTCTCCCTTCCATCGCTTTGTGCCAGAGGCTGGGAAGGGGCAGGTGGAACTCTCTGGTAGCCCCAGCCAGGAGGGCTCCTGGGGAACAAAACCCGGCTGATTGCCAGCATGCGACCAGCGAGGGCTGCTCCTGCACGCTCTGACTCTGCCTTGCTGGGCATCGTGGCAGGAGAAGCGGGCCCACAGCCCTTCCTGGCAATCAGAAAGAGCGAGGAGGCACCTCTGCCCATCCCAGCCTGGCCTGCCTTGGAAGGATGAGTGACCTTCTTAGCCTCACACTCGCTCCAATGGGGTTTTCCCTTCCGGATGGCCGAGGTGGGAAGCAAATAGAATTCTCCCTACCGTACTGGCCAAGGTAGGTAGGTAGGTAAGGAGCTAGAGAGAAAGGAAATGACAGCAGCAGCGCCTGATTGCCTCTCTCTTTTCAGCCTCTCTCTCTGCGGGTAGCAAGGACTGGGCTTCTGGCCCTTGGGCTGAACCTCTAGAAGGCTCTGCCTGCTTGCACGCTCCCTCCTCTGGCTCACGGGGATCGGCATGGCCATTAGGAGGAAGCAGGTGAGCAAAGGGGAGCGGTTGCTGCTCCTTGGAGGCAGCCCTCACCTTGGCCTTTCAGAAATCTTCCACAGTGGAAAGAACTGGGTCCAGCAGAGCCGTCCGGGAGTAAGGAAACTAGAGCTCTCACGGGGCTGATGCTCTGACGGGCTGGGACCACTGGGCCCGGTTCTGACCTCTGAAGAATCCGGAGGGAGTGCTCAGGTAAACAACTGAGAGGATGATGTGGTTACTCTTTCCATGACCAACCTGCGACGGTGCATTGCCCAGAGGGAGACGGGCCGAGCGAGCAGGCAAGCAGAGGCGGCGGCTGCTTGTAGCTTCTCTGCGGACACTACAGTAGAAACCCAGCCCAACCTTGCAGGGTGCCAGAGGGGGCGAGCAAGGCAGAGTGGGAGCAGCCGCCGGCTCTTCTTCCTCGCGGGCCCGCGAGCCAGCCCCGCGCCGGAGCTCAGAAGAGGAGGCGCCACCGGGGGCGTGGGTGTGTGTTCCGGGAAGCTTCCCGGTTTGGCGCGGGCGCGCGGAGGGGGGTGCTCCACTGACGGAGCGATTACTATTGGCAGTTGATGGTGCGATCACCTCTGCAACAGCCGCGCATCGGCTGCTTTTCTTGCACAATAAAAGTGGCCGGGCTAAGCACACTTCTTGCCTTCTAACCCTGATCGCGCTGCGCGCTGATCTCCCGCAACCGAGCCCTAAGAAGAATAGAGCAACCTGAAGGGGAATCCGGGACCAGCTGCAACCTGACACCTCTCGCCATTCATTGGACGGAACTCCTAGCCCCGCCTCCGGAGCCGGAGCGATTCGTCGCCAAGCCGAGCCTCCCGAATCTGGAATCCAGCTTCCTCTTAGGCTGAGTTCATCTGCCAATCATCCTGAAGGACGGTCTGTTCTCCCAAGCTTTGGTCCTGCCTCCTTTCCCCCTTCTCCCCCCGCGCCTATCGATATTATTGGAGTGTGGAGCGAGCGGCCGGTCTGCAGTCGGAGACTCGCAGGCAGCAAATACGGAGAGAAAAAGCGAGTAGGGAAAGGGAGAAGGCAACCGGCAAGAGCACTGCGAAATAAAACACATTGCGGGACAAGCCTTTAAATACCCACCGAGTGGCAGCAGCGGGAGCAGCCGCCGCCGCCGCAGCCGCACAGTCTCTCTGAATATACATATGCATATATATGTATATATAATTAGATATATTTAAGCATCTCAAGCTCATGAACCATGGTTTTTCAAACTAGGCTCCCTTCTTGGATTATTTTATGTTGCATCTGGCTGCTTCGCTTTGTACACACGGTGGAGGCACAGGCTGCAAAAGAAGGTAAGGTGATGCCGAAAACAAAGTTTATCTCTTGCTTTCTCCGTTGCGAGGGCTTTTTAGGAGAGAGAGAGTGTGTGTGTTTTTGGAAACTGCAACTGCATACAGCTTTCTGCCCCCTTCCTTCTGATACAGCAGAGATGAAAGGAGAGCGATTGGCAGCCTCAGCCGTGATCCGAGTGCCTCCATCTGTATCCTACTGAAGTGAATGAATACTCATTCATAGCTGATAACGGATCAGAATTGCGCCCCGATTGTGTCTGTAAGGACGGTGCATTTCGTGTAGGGATGTAGGTTTTATAAGAGACCGCACGTGATGCAAAACCCTGGGATGGTTTCAGGTGTGTGTGTGTGTGGTGCGCTATTCGAGGGACTACGGAGGGTTATATATGATTAGGCTGGAGTCAGTGTCGTTGATAGGAGCAAGGCAACACAGTTCCCCAAGCCCCGAACCGTACAACACAAAACCGAAAATATGATCTCGATACTCGTACTACTGGAGTTTGTGGGGGCAGTGCAGAGAGGCGTTTGGAGACTGGAGATATATCCCAAAGGACAGGCTGGGAAGGGGCATCCTGTGAAACATGTCGCCTATAGCAAGCTAATAATAAAGTCCACTTGTTCTTCTCGTGGTGATGGCGTGATCTGCAGCTCTCAAAAGGGCAAGAAGTGGAGCAGAGCACACTCGTGTAGAACTATTGCCATCACGTTTGCAGATAGGTAGAATACCGTGTCCGTGCGCGCGCGCGCGCGCCTGTACAATGTGCATATCTATGCAGAATGTATGTTAGCCACCCATATACTGCTTTCTCTCGCGCGCTCTCTGCACAATATGAATATGCTTCTGCGTAAAACAAGAAAAGGAGTTAACATTTCGCCGACATTTCCCTTGAATGGCAGTAGGCGCTTGGAAAACACCAGCTCTCCAAGGTTCATGTTAAAATGAACAGTAATGGGCATCTTAAAGGAGACAGTTGACTACGAGATATTAAAGACAGTTCTTTTGTCGCTTGTGTGTGTGTGGGTAAGGTTTTGAGATGCTGCTAACATCTGTTAAGAGGGATATATCGTATTTTGGAGAGATGATCCCCCCCACTCCATACGTCAGGGCTGTTTTTGAGCTATTGGCAGAATAAGCCTACCATCGGAAGTGGCAGAGAAGGGTTCGTTCTCAATGCAAAGATGCCCTACACCTAAGGCGCAGGGAAAGGGGTTGGAGGAGGGGGGAGAACCAGCGCGCTTCATCAAAGGGGAATGAAAAGTTTCTCCGAAAGGCGAAGACACGGCGCAATATGGTGAAAGGATGAGGCGGCTGCGGGAAGGAGGCGACAGGCAGCCAACCGCAGGAGCGGCGAGATCGCTGGCGGAGAGCAGCCTGCCTCTTCCATGCGTTGCCCAGGCGGAGGGAAGGAGTGTGTGCGTGAGGGAGCGAGGGCGAGCAAGACGGCCCGAAGCCACTGAGCCTGGGCGACTTTGGGCTGCGCTGCTGGTCCAGCGTGGCTCCGTCATGTGTGGACTGGGCTTGGTGGGCGGACAGGAAAAGAAAGGGCGCGCGCGCGTCTGGGCATGCCGCAGACTCGCGGCCCGGGGCTCGCAGGCGCTCACCTGCGGCACGCTCAGAAAACTCGCCCCAACTTTTGGAGAAGTCCTCGCTGAGCTCGTCCCAGGAGCGAGCGAGGCCATCTCTGCCCGCGTTGTCTTTCCTTCTCTGCAGAAAAGCGCGGCGCGGGGTGTGCGGAGGCAGCGGGGCACTTCTCCTCTTCCCCTTCCCACTTTTTAGGAGCAGGGTAAGCAACTCCATTCGAGCGGCGCGCTTCCAGCCCCTCCGGCCTTTGCAAGGGAACCGCGTGAAGCGGAGGCGCTCGCTCCCGGCAGGGCGGCCCCCGGCGCCTGTCTCTTGGTCCAGGGGGCGTTTTCTGCTCCCCGGGAGGCCGTGCCCCCCCCCCCCGGCTGGCTCGGGGATGCTGGGAAGCCACCCCGGCGCACGCACGCCCGAAGTCGAGGCGCGAGGCGGAGCTGGTGCTCTGCGGCCGGGCTGGAGCAGGCGCGCAGCGGGCTGCTCTGCTCCAGCGGCGGCGGGCGGGCGGGCGCGCTGTGGGGCGGGAGGGCTGCGGGGGCGCCTCGGCCCGAGCAAGGCCGGGCAGGCGGGCGGAGGGAGCCTCGCCGTGGATGCTGGCAGGCGGCAGGCGAGAGTCCGCGGCCTCGCGGCTCCTGCCTTAGGGAGCCCTGCGCCTGGTGCTGGTGGAGGAAGCAGACGAGTGAGGAAAGGAGCCTCGGGGAGCCTCTCGCCTTCTTTTCCCGACCCCTCGGGTGAGGAGCGAAGGGGTTCCTTTGGCTGCGCTTCTACGCTGCTTACCCCTTACCCTGTGTCTCCCCTCGCTCTGTATTCAGCATAGCTAAGAGCGGAATCCGTGTATGTGCGAGGCTTCCTTTGTCCGAGGGCTTCGTCTGTTTTAAAGTACTGGGGCTGTGACCTGGGTGCAGACACGGGTGGCAAAGGGTCCCTGACCATGTGCAAAGTGACGGCCCTATTGACACGGGGGGTGGGGGTGGCACGCCGAGGCTGCATTCTTTGCTGAGACTAATCTGGCTGAATTTACTATGGCATGCTTCTGAACAGGGGTGGGTGGGATTGCACTCCTAGGTGTCCCAAGGCTTTTTTTCCCCTCACTTCCAGCAAGGTTTGAATGAGTCTGATCTGAGCTCGAAACTGAACAGAAGCCCTGGGGAATGTGAACATCTTGAAGGAAGTGAGCCGAGCAACTATTTAAAGACAGTTCACCTCTATGAAAGATGTTTTTAGGTCATCGGTGCTGGTTAAATTACCCTGACGTATCTCTGCGAGTGTGTGGTTCTGAAATAGTTGGGGAAGAGGAACTTGGATTTGACCCTCAGAAATACAGGTTTGAGAAGCTTGTAATGGACCAGGCTGCAGTTTGCAGCATGCAGGATTCTTACACCCTTACAGGGCAGACACAGAAGGTTCCCCTGGACCAAAAATCCTGTGGTGCTTTAGACTGGTTATTGCTATTTGATATAGTGCCACTTGCTTTCAAAGGCAAAACATTGCTCTGTCAAATTCCACTTGACATCTCCTTTAGTTTTGCAATGTTGATCAGTAGGGGTCTGAAGTAAGCTGGGATTGGCCTATGAGTGTGCTACAGATTTCATTAGAGGCCTCTAAAACATCTTTCATTTTCTGCTCTTATCAAGCTGGTTTGAGCTGGCTGGCTGGCTGGCTGCTTGCTTGAAGACACTTGTTTCTTTGAAAACCAAAATCTGTGTTCTTACCGCTTGACAAAAACTTTAGAGAAGTTCACATGTGAAGTATATAATAAAATTGTTCCTTAGCACCTGTGGAAGTCTTTTTGTCCCCAAAATGTTGTCATTTATTTATACCTCTGCACTATAAGTAAGGAATGTTTTCATAATTTTGAGAAGTCAGATTAGCATAACTTTATATTATGCATGCTCAGACACAGAAAAAAACATTTTCACTTTCGTTTGTGTACAGTGCATTAGATATTTGAGCACAATTGTGAATATTTAGTACACTTAAAGAATTACAACTTGCTTTTCAGTAGAAGCATTGATATAAACACAGGGGTTAAACATGCACTATTTTTAGCTAAGCTTATCAGCATGGACTTTAATTAGCAACCCAATACTCAACACTCTGCAACTCCTGCAAGATCCCATTAAAAGCCAAATTCCCTGAGCAACTTTGATTAATTAAATAATTAAATGAGAAGCAAAACTTCTTAAAGTTGGAAAAGCTGGAACTTCTTAAAGAAGAGCTGGAACTTCTTCAGTGGGAAAGCATAATGCAAGGATACAGACAATTATTGGTTTAAATTATTCTTCAAAAAGTTACGTTTGTGAACTTTCATGCACGTTTATTTGGAAGTAAGTACCAATGAGATCAACAGGGCTTCAGATTTACATATATAGGCAATCAGGCTATGTAACTTCAGTCCACTTCAGTTAGGTAGCCTGCAGCTGAAACAGGATGTTGGGTTGTAAACATCACCAAGATTTGATTTTTTTTTCTTTCCCCAATAGTTATACAACTTTTTTATTCAGAATCTCTTTCCCACTCCCTCTTTCTCTGACTCTGCATAAGTTTCAAGTGTGGCAATAAATTAATATCTTTGCATCTAAGACTGATCACCCACACACTTGTGATTTCAGTGGAAATTACTGCTAAGCAACTGTTCAATGGACTGCAGGCTGTGTATTGATTTATATTAATAAGTTACCTTACATTGAAAGGTGTTGGCAAAATGCACACATGAGTAAAACACGTCAATATAAAAATTTGTATCCATAGTTATATTGTTTTAAATGATGCTTTAACTAATTATTTAGCCAATTGCTTATAGTTTCCATCTTAAAGGTAGCATGGAACTATATAATTGCAGCAGAACTTTATGATCATATTTAAGGATACCACTATCCAGCAAAATGAGAAAAATGATACCATTATATTTATTCCAGTATTTTTTACCAATTCTGTAAATCAAATATGGGAGTGTAATCCCTGTTTTGCTGATACAGCAAAAACTCCAATTGTGTTTAATATCTGGGTTATATCTCGGATATTTTAAAGGCTATTTCCTGGGGTTAGATATGCATAGATATGTGTCAAGCTAAATGTGGCAGTCTAAAAGTACATAGTATGATGAATTTTCCCCCTATACAATGCTTTCTTTTAGATAAACCTTCATACTAGTATTACTGTTTCTCACCCTCTAAGCTATCCCTGGTTATTACAAATCATCAGAGGCTGTTAATAACTTAAATGTTAAGGGTGTTTAAATGTTAATGCACTTCAATTTATATTGAATATGAAATTTCCTTTTTTATGAACCAGAGATTTTAAAAAATGTATTAACATGTACTGATTTTATTCATACACTGCAAAACACAGCTCCTTGTTATTTGCTCATGAAATTATTTTGCCTTCTATTACTTGATAAAATACACTTGAAAAGTAAAAGTCATCAGCATTTCAACATGATCTACTAGCTGCCCACTATTAAATTTTTCTTGAATAACATTTTAAAGGGAATAATATATTTTTTCAGTTCTATTCCATCATGATTCTTTTGATTCTTAAAATAATATTAAAGGTTTTGTTGTTGTTCACTTTCAGTAATATTGTTGGACTCTAAAGCACAACAGACAGAATTGGAATGGATTTCTTCTCCTCCCAATGGGGTAAGTAAGTATACAATAAAGTCCACCTCACAGCAACAGTAGTAGTTTAAATTAACCCTATACCCCACTTCAGCAAATTGTAATTGACATTTAAAGTGCCTGTGAAGGTTTTGCTGTGAAAAGTAACAGGTCAAATGCCAACTAATTACAAGAAAACATCTCCTCAGTTACTTATCTTAACATCCTCCTTTGTGATATGCACCTAAATTTGTCTTTTTATTTTGAAAAAACACCTTGCAGCCTGTGATTCTTTTGGAAGATAGACTTTGCCTTCATGATTCTGAAAAAAAAAAAATCATATATCACAAATTTGTGATGTATACATGGAGAATTACATGTTTTAAAAGACTGGAAACTTGTACATACACAGAGGACTGAGAACTAAATCAATATTTTAGATATTTAATTTTAATTGTAAATCCTGTAGAACCAAATACAGAATTTGCTCCACTAAAGCAACAATTTACACCCTTACTTTTCACAACTTACCTAAACAATTGTGCCCTATTATACTTTTGACAGCACACTGATTAGAATTAAGTCATGCTGTTCAGACTTAGAAACCATTAAAATGTATGTTTTCAGATCTTAATTCAACCATGTTAAAATGCCTATCACATAACCTTTCAAAATCAGTATAATGGAAGGATACAGTTGTTCTTTTTAAATATATGTTTTAAATTGTTCAAAGAGCTGTAAGGACGCATCATATACTGTTTTTAAATGCCCTCAGAATTATCTCCCTAATAAAGTTGATTGGTTTAAATAGAATTTGTGCTGCCATAGCACTTTGAGGATTGGGTTGCCCATCATTTAGATTAGCTCTTACACAGGTATTCTCTTTGAATGTCTCTGAATGAAGGTTTGCGCAATCAAGCCTTTAATCCAAAGCTTTATAAAGAAATCTGGAACCAAAAGAGCGTGAACTGTGAGTGGGGATACAAAAGTGTAACAAATCCTGTAAATAAGAAGAATGAAAACCTGAAAGTGTCTTAGTTAAAAAAACAAGATCATAAAATCAATCCAGGCACATGGTGGAGGAAAGTCTAAAGGCTTTCAAAATGTATGTAACGTGAGCTGAATGCTTAAGACCAGTAATAACTCCAGCATTAGCATTTTGCATTGATGGTCGCATTTTAAGAGGAATGTTTGAAAGAACAATTTGAATAGGATGCAGTAAAGCCTTGATATACTCAAGACATGTGCTATAGAGGAAAAATGTTGATGAGTGGTAAGAATACATGTGAATGAAGTTCAGTACTATAGCATCCACTGTTAAGCACTGTACCTATAAAAATTACTTGTGGTTCTATGTCATAGATTGCACAGGTTTTGCATTAATTACATGTATTTAATTACATGCTAGCATCCAGAAATTGTGACAAGCAGTGAGAACTTAAAAAAAAAATCTAGAACAGGTGACAACTCTTAAGGAAAAAAGAGTTAGCTTGGGAACTCTAAATGAAGCTCCTGAACTATTACTTCAAGAAGCATAAATTACATTTATTGAATTTTGAAAAAGCCATAAATTTCTGTTTGTACCATCCTAGAAAATACCTAGCACACACTTACTAATAGTTTATAATAATGTCTGAGGTCCTTTGTGTGTAACAGTCTGTTTTCAAACCATTTATCAAAACATGGTTGTTGTCCATCCATAGCTTATGCTACAGACAAATAGCAGGTTTTGGATTGATTAAATTCGGCATATAAATATGTAAAAGTAAATGTACTTACTAGTATTCAAACCTAGCATGAAATTCAGCATGTGCACAATCTAGCATGCACAGAACCTGTTTGAAGTTCCAGCATGGAGATCTTCGGATATTTCCCTCTCCTCAAACAAATGTAATTCCTTCTGATGGCAATGCTGATATCTTTGTAGGCAATGCAATAGTTGATGACCTCTCATGTTAATAGATTGGCATATAGGCACCTGATCCACAAACCAGCTAAGTTGTGAATGGCGTTAATTCTGTTCATTCTATCAACTTCCATTCTGCAGGATAACTCTAAAATCAGAGAGCAGACAAGGAAATGGGATCACTTTAAGGTCACTGAATTTGACTTCACCCTGTTTTAGTGTGTGTGTGAATGGTACACCAGTGATTCCTTAGATTGTCAGTGAGGATTCAAGTTCTTTTACTTTGTGTCTGATTATTCAGTGTAGCAGGAGGTAGGACAACGTGTAGAAGATTTGCAAAGGGAGGGACTGTGGTTCTGTGGAAGAATACATGCTTTGCATCCTGATGCTACAAGGTTGTGTCCAATATCTCCTGTTAGAAAGACTTCATTTAGCAAGGATGGGGTAAAAAAAACCCCATTTATCCACCAGTCAGTATTGGGCTAGATAGACCAAATGGCCTGTTTAAGCATAACACAGTTTCACATACTTTCCTTTTTGAAAGCAAATATTATGTTTCAATTGGCAATTAGTTCAGCTCACTAAAGAAACAGTCTGTATATTTCATTAAGCAAACATGTCGTATCGTACACATTGTAACATAAATACTGCAGTACTTTGAAAATGCAGTTTTATATTTACAACTCCTGTGCATTTCAGCATTTACAGCCATAATATATTTTGTGCTAATAAGTTTCAGCATCAGTTCATCAATGTCTGCTTTTCTTAGAGCAGTGGACCAACACTAAAATGATCTCATTTGCTGTCAAGTAGTCTTGTGAACTATTGCGTGCTATCTGGCTTTGAGCTTGGTAAGCCAGTCTTTCTCTAAGTGTTCTCTTGCCTTCTATGAATCATTAATAAGGAACTAACAAATCAGGGCTGGCACAGATACAATGCTAAGTAATCTCTTAACCATGCTTAAGACATCAGGACTGGTTGCTCCTTCATACAACTGTTGGTATCTCTGCATAGAAATTCTTGCTACTGTTTCTTCACTGGCATTAACTATATTCAAGCACTACATTAGCAAGGGTTCCAGTGGAGGTTAATGAGAACCAAGGTCTGAAGGTGGTTAACAGAACATGGTAAGACATGGTTAAAGCATGGCTAATCTCTGTTGATTTTAGCAACGATGTAGCAATTCAGTCTGATGAATGTCAGTGTGGCTATTCATACAGGAAAGAGAAAAAGGTGTGGGACAGTGTGTGACCCTGCACCACTGGATCATTAGATTTGCCTAGAGATACTGAATATTCTGGGCCCAACCTGATCCATGTTCAGTATGAATTTCCATACCCTCTGTGAACAGAAAGATACCTAGAGACATAATATACAAAAATTCCTGAGAGTAAGTTCCATCAAATTCGGTGGGCTTCCATCAAAGTATATAGGATTGTGTTATTAAAAGGTTTTCAGAATTGTGGTCAAAACATTTCAGAATCTGCAAAATCCTAACTGTATGTGACAGTACTATCTTTTAAATATTTGTCAGCTTCAGGAACAAAACTTGATTATAGTTTTCTTTTTTAAAGTATGACACATTTGTTATTTCTTAATCACCAGGTATCCAAATCTGTTACTAGTTATACCTGGATAAATTATAAATACAGGGCTAGGACTTGCTAGTGCTGCTTTAAATTATTACTATTAATTTAACAATAAATTATTTTCCTCCTGGGAGTATTAAGTCATGTTAATTTGTTGACTTAATTGCAGATATAACTTTAGCTGAAACAATATTACCATGTGATGAATCATCAGAGATGATTATTTTTTTTTCATATTATACAGTCCAGGAAAACTATAAGGAGATAAGGCTTCTACATAGAAAGCTTTCCCATTGCATGATGTTTCCTGCATGGAATGTGTGAATTTGTTACCCTCATTAATTGCAATCAAAGAACTACTCATTGCATTCATTCAGCTAATTTTCCCTACCCTTTCTGCCAGGCCACTTCTACCAACATGCAAGATAGTATTGCTCCAAAACTGGAAACTTTAATTCACACAAATACTACTTGTTCCTCCTAAAAAGGAAATAGGCTGAAGTGGAGAAAAATTGGATTAGGACAGTTGAATAACCCACGTTATTGGCTTCTAAATGAGAACAATTACGACACTTGATAGATTGCAAGCTTAAATCAGCAACTTGAGAACTTTGAGTTCACGCAAAGCTCACATTGTTATTAGGCCAAAATACTGTTCCCTGTTCTATTCATTAGGGTTGAGGGCTGTTGATTTTATTAAATGTATGTAGACTTTCCAATATACACAGAAGTTTAACATTAAGGCTGCAGTCCCAAATGACTTCTGACCCAAAGATGGGTGTGGGGAAGCTGCACAGTAGATTGCAGCTGCAGTAACACAGTCCTCACTTGTATTTTGGAGTTCTTCTGAAGACACACAACTGAAATTCCTGTTGATTTGGTGGAATGGAAAGCGTATTAATTCAGGAGTCATTCCATTACCTTGCATGTAATTTCTCTGCATCAAATGGGTTGTGAATCTCTCTCTTCCTTAAATGATATAATCCTGAGACGATGGCTGAGATCCAGTGGACTGTGTAGGACGCTTTTGTGCACTCAGCAAGATTTCTAATGGCAGACTTGCTCCATCTGGGAAGCTGGTAAAAAAAAATCAGCGAAACATTAATATGTCAGTTATGCTACTTTTTGGACCTTGGTTTGAAAGATATAATCATAATTTTCTTTATATGAATGATTAAGATGCAGCCTACAATAGCAAAATGCTCTTTGGCAGGTCAATATTTACTACAAAAATAAACAAACCAGTATTTGTTTTAATACATTTATAGTTTGAATGCCTCAAATGCATCTTCTCACAATCCTTAGAACAACTTTGTAAGGTAGGACATGTCAATATCACCGTATTACAGATAGAGGCTTAGAGAAAGTCACTTTCCTAAGACCAGCTAGTGAGTTCACAGCAAAGGTAGAATTCAACTAGGGTTGTTTTTTTTTTTTTTTGCTTTTTCCTCCACTATGCTATACCAATTTTCCTCCTAAAACTGATTTTACTAAGGTTTACCTGACTGACAATGATTCACCACAGTTCAAAAAATAACCTATAACTGTGCAGGTTACTCAGTTCTCTCTTTTTTGTTTAGCATGCTTAAAGATTCTACCTCAATATAGGTAATTATTTCTTTATGTTCTAGTGGGAAGAAATTAGTGGACTGGATGAAAACTACACACCTATAAGAACATACCAGGTATGCCAAGTCATGGAACCTAACCAGAATAACTGGCTTCGGACTAACTGGATTGCAAAAGGAAATGCACAGAGGATTTTTGTAGAACTAAAATTTACCCTGAGGGACTGTAATAGCCTTCCTGGAGTCCTGGGGACATGTAAAGAAACATTCAACTTGCATTATTATGAAACAGACTATGACACTGGCAGGATCATCAGAGAAAACCAGTATGTAAAAATAGATACTATTGCAGCCGATGAAAGTTTTACCCAAGGTGACCTTGGGGAGAGAAAAATGAAACTTAATACAGAGGTGAGAGAAATTGGACCTCTGTCCAAAAAAGGATTCTACCTTGCATTTCAGGATGTAGGTGCCTGCATTGCTTTGGTTTCTGTGAAAGTATACTACAAGAAGTGCTGGTCCATTATTGAGAACTTAGCTGTTTTTCCAGATACAGTGACTGGGTCAGAGTTCTCCTCCCTAGTTGAGGTCCGGGGAACTTGTGTCAGCAGTGCAGAAGAAGAGGCTGAAAACTCTCCCAGAATGCACTGCAGCGCGGAGGGAGAATGGTTAGTACCTATTGGGAAGTGTATCTGCAAAGCTGGTTTTCAGCAAAAAGGGGACACGTGTGAACGTAAGTAGAAAACATTTTATGTACTTTTGAAAATTTTATTTTGTATTCTCACTTGTATAAAAGGGCTTTTGAATGAAAGTGTTGTATTATTTGTTCACATACAGAGAGCCTGGGAATTTGTATGCTTCACACCAGCTAGCGTAAATCAATTGCATCAGGGATAGAAGTCAAGAATTGGATGTTGCATTTTGAAAGGCTATTAAACTGACTGTGCAGAGTACAGTTTACCTTTCCTAATGGTGTTGCATGCACAGTGTAAATGCAGCTACAGAATATCTTACAAGGAATAAGCCATAGAGGACATCCCCTAGTTCTTCAAAATACCCTTGAGGACATCATAGCTTGCATGGAAAATACTATTAGACATTACTTGTTGATTATTTCACAGCTTATTAATGGGAAGCTATAAAGAACATTCTAAAACCAGGAGTATAATGCATTTGTGCTTAGCAGTTGAGTTTCAAAAGCAGCACAGAATTGGGAAATATGAGTGCTGGAGAAGTTTGAATCACAAAGAAAAAAGTCTCACCATGATGATTTAATCTACACTGGATCCAAGGCCTTTATCTGGAAAAGAACTAGAGAGTTTTGGTATGAAATGCAAATTTCTTAAAGCAAACACAATACATTTTCTTAGTGCAAGTTTTACACAGGTAGATTTTTCACACAGTTGAAGTGATACTGACTTTGCACCTTTAAAGAAATGAACAAACCTTTCACCACGAAGAAGTGAAAGAAAGAAATTGCGTGTTAACTTGGAGAAAGCATTAAGAATTGTATGTGAAAACTGCTCCTGTACATCATTCCAGTGTATTATGTAATGGCTCTTCCAGAAGTGTTAAAGTACTTAATGTCTATCAAATCACAGTGAAAAAAATATTAGTTTGTAATAATACTAGCTTTATTTCAGAACCATTGGGAAGAATGAAGTTAAAATCTGAAGATTGTTGAGAGAGGCCAGTGTTGAGTAATTAGAATACAAATATATTGTTTACTAAATAGGCTTCTTAATTTTAGGCCTTGGTAATGTTGACAGAGGCATTTAATGATAACTTGCACTTGAGTGTCTCCCTGTGAATGCTTCTCATGTCTGGCCTCTTGCCAAAGGAACAGCTAAGGGAATAGGCTGTGCTGGAAGGGATCCAAGTTTTCAGTTTATGTTTTTTTTCCTTCCTCCTCACCTCTTCTTTCAAAAATAATCTAGATAAAAGCTTCCAAATAAAGCATTACTCCACATTACGGTTATCTGTGTTTGAGAAAGACTAAGACATAATATATAGCTAGTTGCTAACCATATTAAAAATGTAAGTGGTTTGATGTCAGAAGGACATGTCTTTAGTCAGCCTTCAGGCCGATACTAGTAAGATGTTTAGTTGTGAAAATGTTAATGATTAACTATGTAGTGAATTATAATATAGCTGGAAAGTGATACATTCACTTTGCAAGAAATGGAACATTGTGCCATTAATGCAATTGGTTATTTTGTTACTGTCAGACTTTGTAGAATACCTAGCAGAAGCAGAATTGGTATGTGATGTCTTAGTCTGTGGCTTTAATTGTTCTTTCTCTCTTTGTATCTGTTATCGAATAGTAACCTCATCATTCAAAGATAAATTAATTAAACAAGATTGTTTAGACTATGGTATGCTATCCTATCCAGACTGTGGCATGCTAACCCTGAATACCTTGGCCTTGATGGCAGACCTCTGCATGCAGCAAGATTTGAAAAGAATTTGGGAATGGTCAGCATGGATAGCATAAATCACCTGGAAACTATGCTAGTGTCTGACTTAAGTTGCTCCCACTCTCCTGAAATGGGTGCTGTGAAATGTGCAAAAGTTGCAGAAGTTAGAGAGCCATGGGGCTCACTGGGCCAGCCACGTTCTCTCAACCCAACCCACTTCACAGGGCTGTTGCTGTGAGGATAAGATTGTGAGGAAAAGGCACAAAGACGACAACAACCACCTTGCAAATGTTAAGGTATGGGTGTCCTCATACAGTGGCTAAAGAGAGGTTTCCTAAAAGCACTCCAGTACAGGGAAATTGAACCTGAGGCCTTCGAGCCATTCCTGCCCCACCTGTGGTCTGTTCCCCATCCATGGAAGGTTCTCCAGATTACTGTTCCCCCTTCAGACTGCCAGTTGTTGGGTGGATTAATGACTTTTGCTTATTCACCCCGTTCTTAAATGTTGAAATGCCTTTCTTATGTTTTAATTACTTGTGCTAAGAAGATAGGCTTTGCTGTATTTTTGGCCGCACTTTGGCTGCTTCCCCCGTATCGTTTCACTTTAAGCTATGTTCACCATTGAATAACAGCCTTTGAGAGCTCCTCCAACACTGATATAAAAGTGGTTCTTAAAAAGGTGGGGGGAAAGGATTTGACTCACCATGATCAGCAGCCAGTAAGCCACATGACTTCCTTTTAGCAGTGATGTTGTTCCTATACCCGATAAATATCAAAATGACTTTCCATCATGATCTGCTACAGGATGCAGAAAAGAGCCGGAAGGATGGTAGCAGAGTTGAGAAAGCCCACTCCCCGCTGAGCACTGCTAGTGAGAACTACCGAGGCATTTAAAAATATTCTTTAAAAACTCTACTTGCAGTAAGTGCAGTAAGGTTATCCAACCCTCTTCCAGTTTATTAGATATCTGCCTGTCCAACAAAAAAATCTACTTTTCGAAACATAGAAACAGAACGAGTCAGAAGGGGTCTCCCGGGCCATCTGGTCTGACCCCTGACCACCATGGGCATGTCCAGCCTATCTTTGAACACCCTCAGCAACTTCTCGTGGAAGCCCATTCCACACCCTCGGCGTCCTAACTGTCAGGAAGTGCTTCCTGGCATCTAAATGGAACCTTGATTCTCTGAGCTTTGCTCTGTTGGAACGCATCCTGTCTTTTATCTCTGTTTTATTAGAGGTAGGTCCATGAAAATGGACAGAGGAATTTGTCCCAGTACTAGATAATCTCTAGTGCGGCAGTGTGGTTGTTAAGAGTGTGGGATTGGGACTCAGAGAGCTGGGTTCTAGCCCCAGGCAGCCATGGGACTCGCTGAGTGAACCTGATCCAGTCATGGACTTACAGGATCATTGTGAGAATAAGATGGAGAGAAAGAGAAGAATGATGTAAGCTGGCTTGAGTTCCTTGGAAGGAAAAAGCTGGGATATAAATATAACAAACACACACACTCCTGATAGCATCAGTGGATCATAATTGTTTTTTAAGTCAACCCATTCTTGGAGCAATTGACCTATCAAATGTATTAATTGTTGGTATTTCCATTCATATACTTTTGCTGTATGAGTTTGAGTAACACCCTAAGAGAGAATTTTCAAATTGGCTAAATGCTCATTGTTATGTGTATAATTCTGTTTCTTTAAACAAAAAACTATTTTAAAAACTAGGTTAAAATGAATTGAAGGATTTTTATGTTGAGAAAAATTAAGAAGTTCCGATATGACACACATTCCATATGTTCTGCATCATTTAAAAATGGAAATAATATGCATTTGCTCACACATAGCTGTATAATATTTCATGTGCTAGGAAACAGTTCTCGGTGTGCATGAAATATATATGAAAATTAATTTGGCATTGTGTGTGGAACTTAAGACTTTCAGTACAAGCAAAGCTGGTCTGCTCTTCTATTTAACTGCTTCATATTATGGGAGCAGTTGTCACCCACAACATTTAAAATAGAGTTACAGGTTTTTTGTGAGTGTCACATGGCTGTGTGTTACACTTAATTTGCTGTTTAGCATACAGTGTGATGCGGCATTCTAGTGTTTTGATTCTGAACTGTTATAATGATAGAATATGCTTTCACATTTTGATTTACAGAGCAACCCTAACCCCCATTCCGTTGGCGGATTGAATTAGCATGGGCCACTCTGCTGGCTCAGAGTTTTGCTGGCATGAATATTCATCCATCCCACTGGTTCAGTTCAGCCTGCAGAACACTGTACGGGTGAAAGCTACTGTGAACGTTCTTCCTACCAGTGGCTGGCTTAAAGGGGCCAGCTGAGTCCAAAGCCCCCCTGAGTCCTGGAGAGTTCCCAGGACTGGGTAGCTCAGTTATGCCAGCCTGGACCTGACATAGTGAAATCTGCCCACTGAAACATTAGCACCCGCATGTGTGCACACACACAAACCCCACTGAGCTGAACAGCGTAACAGAGCTCTCTGGAACACCCACCTGATTCCTGCCCTAGTAACACAAGCTGGTAGAGGTTGGGAACCAAGCTGCATTCATTTCCCTTCCCTTTCCAAATAGATTGCTTTGTTTATCATAAAGACTTTTAAGTTGAAATACAGTACAGAGTATTCTAGCGAATGCAGATATTACTGTTACATTGAGGACTGCTAGAAATGGTAAGCAAAAAAAGTAATTAATTTTTGTAAGCTGATATAGCAATTTGGCTGACACACATAAGAGCTAGCATTGAAATTTGAAAGTGTACCACTCCAAGGAACAATGTATCCATTCTTCAAAACTATGTTTCTGTTATATTTTCAATTGTAGTATAGAATCTGAATATGTTTATTATAATAGAAAATATTGTATACAATTTTCATTTCTGTTGCTTGTTATTGGCAATACTAAACAATGATCTTAATAGATACTGATTAAAACAATACTTCTCTCTCACTCTGAGGTTGAAACTACATGTTACCTTGGGAGTAATATTTATTTATTTTATTTAAAACATTTCTATGCCGCCCCATCGCAACAAAGCCTCGGGGCGGCTCACAACACATAAATAAATACAGAAGTAATAAAATAAATAAGTACTAAATTATACAATAAATAACACCCCCCCCCCAGTGCATTCTCGGCTAAAAAAAAAACCCTAGTTAATAAATAATTAACAGTTAAAATAAGTTTTAAATAAAAAGGTCTTAGCCTGGCACCGAAAAACAAATAACGATGGCACCAGGCGGACCTCTCTGGGGAGCACATTCCATAGATGGGGCGCCACCGCAGAGAATGCCCTCCTC